GGATCGTGCTTTTTTTTGGCGGACAAACCAAGCCGATGGGCCATGGGAGAGGTGGTCTCCTCCGGGCTCCGGCGGCGGTGGATTGGGAGTTGGGAACCCTCCACCCTCCCCATCGTTTTTTTCTTTTCTGACAAGACAACTCCGATTCCAAAATGGAGAGGACGTACTACCGCCATATAGCCCCATATTACTCAAGGGCAGAGCGGACTCCCGCCATATATTACTCCACGGCGGGGGGGATTCGCGCCATATTACATCAGGAAGGATTGGGGGGCAGAGTGTTGGTTCCTCGATCCAAAGTATACAAAATTTCATACCTTTGTATGTCGATCGGCCGGTCGATTTCTGCCGGGCAGCTGCGCCACCGCACTCGAGTTTTTGTGGTGGCGCAAGACCCCAGCGAGGTAGGCAACCTCGTCTTCAAAATCAATCTGAAGCATCTCTTCTCCTGTTCCCCCTCCCAGCCGGAGCCGCCGGAGGAAGAGGAACCGCATGCCCAGCCCGAGGCCGTCGCGTGCTTGAAGCAAGTCGATAACTTTGAGCGCATGACGTTCGCCGCCTCGGCCTCTGGTGACGTCATCGTCGCCGCTAACTACGCCGGTTGCGGCCGGACCCTGATCTATGATGCCGCCGCCGGCGGCGTCTCGCCCGGGCCGGAGATGCGCTCCGTCAAGAACTACCTGTTCCTTGTCCCGGTCGGCGACCGCACGTTCTTTGCCATGTCCGCCTACTCGCGCCTGGACGTCCCCAAGGGGGGGCCCTGGTTCGAGGTTCTGCAGCAGCAGCTCCTCCCCGGCGGCGGCGGCGGCGGCGGCCGTTGGGCCTGGAGCGCCGTTCCTGACCCGCCCGGCCTCCCTCGTGGCCAGAGGGAGGACGTCCGGGCCTACTTCGTCGCGGGCGCGCGCGTCTGGATCTCGCTGCGCCTCCAGGGTACCTATTCCTTCGACACGGCGCGCCAGCGTTGGCGCAAGGAGGGCGCCTGGATGCTGCCCGTCCTGGGTCGGGCCGTCCTGGTGCCTGATTTTCTGGGCAGCGGCCGGCGGCTGCTCTTCGGCATCCGTTCTATGAGGGATCACCAATTCTGCGCCGTCGACATGGACGCCAGGCCGCCGACGGTCCTCAGGTCCTGGCCTGAGGCATTGCCCACCATCGGGTGGGCCGCCGGATATAAAAGGTGCTCCTTCCTCCCCCAGGTGACCTACTTTGGGGGCGGCAGGTTTTGCGTTTCGGTGACGAATCAGACCAACGAGGAGAATCCACTCAGCGTCGCCTCCTTCAAGGCCGTCGAGCTCACCGCCGACCTACAGCTGATCGAACGCCGGTCCAGCTACTACTTGATGCCACAAAGCTCACGCGGGTCGCCGGTTACAGTAATTTAGTTTGCCAGTAAATCATACTCCCTCCGTAAACTAATATAAGAGTGTTTAGATCACTATTTTAGTAATCTAAACGCTCTTATATTAGTTTACAGAGGGAGTATATTGTAAAAATCCATATTTGTATCGATCAGTCTAATTTCTCTGTCAAACGAACTGACTGCTTTACTTTCCTTGAACAATGTATGTATCTGTGCTCCATATTTATGAATGTCACGTGTCATTCATCAGGATGAGTCTCACCTGCTAATCCGTGAGACCTGGTCTTATAGAATTTTTTCCCTTCCCTTCTGTCAGCAAATGGACCTCGGTTGCTACTCTTCGGTCCATCTTTGGCTTCTTTTGGCGTTGCTATCAATAAATTGCCTGAAAAATCACCTACTGTGCAAATTACAGATAGAATTTGCTGTTTTTTTTTACAGCAAGTTGACCACAGTTTACAACTTTATGATTGATTACAGCCTTTTTCTTTTTGAACGAGACAAAGGCGTACGAGGCGCCTAACATTCATTCATTTATCTGCAGTTTACATGGGTAATGACGTATCCCTGATGAGTAATGTCTGCAATGATCTGAATCAGGGGACAGCGCCATTTTTTATGCTGAACATTACAGCAACTAATCCTAGAACGTTGTTGGGGAAATAAATCCTGACTCTGCTAACTTGGCTGCTACGTGAGCATCACAATTATCAGCGAATCCGGATCCGAATATGGAACACCTGAACCTGTCTTTGATGCAGTGGTATTACAGAAGTTCGTCGGAATGCTTCTTACTGTATTTGCCAATGTCCCGCTAGATTGATTCCATGTGTCTCTGCCAATAGTCGCTGAGATTGTAATTTCCATTTTTTGGTCTCTCTGATGCACCTGCAAAAAATATAACCAAATCCTCTTCTTACACTTTCCATAGTGTCAGAGTTTCTTAGTTCATGCCAGCCACGTATGTGTAAATTTGGACTGAAGCTGGGAGCACGGTGCTATCAATTGTGGTTCTCTGTCTGAATTTTTCTTTTTCCTGAGGGCCCATCCTGTGATTTTCAGTGGTTGACCTTCCCTGTTCAGTTGCGCCTACTTCCAAAGATAAAGCTATTTGTGATAGCATGTGCTGCAAAAAAAGAACTGGAAAGAAGACACATCTTTTCTCTGGAAGAGCTTATTATTCCTGGCTTTCCACAAGCACCACATGAATGTAAAAATATTAGGTCTGTCTAGGACACATCTAGATGTGACATAGTTATGTCACATCTAACCTGATGTCCTCTATGTTTGTGGTCTACTTTTTTTTGTTCCAGCTTTTTTTTGTTCCTTGTTGCTGTGTATTTGTGAGAGCTTAGATGTGACATTCTTAGAAAACATCTAGATGTGAATTAGGCAAACTGAAAAATATTGCTCTACCAGGACACCATATAGTTAGGGAGTGAAAAGCATGTAGTAAAATATGATGATCTAATGCTCATAAGCACACTCACAATCATTTCCCCCTCAAGGCTCTCAAACACTTTATTTCAATCATTGATTGCTGAAACTTTGACTGTCACGTGAAGGGATTATGCCAACTAAATGATCATGCAATGTGGCTTAATGTTTGGGAACTATGGACCTTTGAAATATGTCTCTTTCGAGCTCTTTTGGTCAGTCCCCTTTATTTACCACATACACACCATTTCAAGAGAAAGCAGAATAATATGCGTTTGTACTGTTGCCACTACATACGATAACAAACCCATAGCCAAAATCTGAGTTAGCGCTCTTGGTGGATCGTTCATTGGCCAGCGGAGTCCTCAGCATAATATCAAGAAAGGTGATGAAGCCACATTTACACACGTACACGTGCATATAGTAGCAAGGCCATAACACCAGCAAAGAGTTGAAACACCATGTAAGAGATACAACACAGATTTTTCCATAATCTCGTTCACCCTTCAACAAAGTCCCTCTAGACAATTAATTCCACAAGTGCTATTAAGTCTGTTAACATTAATAACATGGGGTTGAGCAATTCAAACATCACTTCTACTACAATTTTCTCAACTCTCAAGTCTTGAAAGACTTTCTCTTGTGCATAGTTATTCTTGGTTAGTATCATTTCATTTAAAAAACAGTCCCATGACAAGTCTTGGTTGTCTAAACTAAACAGAACAAAGACTACAAAATTATTTCAGATACTAGAACAAAACCTTTGTCTTAATTATCAAGACTTACTCCCATCTGCACACATATCACACATACTACTACTACATCTACTCTAAGTATTTCTACTGCAAAAGATGGGGGTCGTAGGACATACCTTCACGGTTGTGAATTTACACGCTTCTCGTCCCTACTCTTGCATTCCTCGTTGTCCAGCGTTGATCAAGTCCTCTGAAAACAAAATGCAAACAAACTCCGAAGGGCTAGATAAATAGCAAGAGCAGAGCAACGCTCATTCTATTTTTTGGGTTTCTGAAAACTAACTTGCAACTGAAAAGTCGCAAAGGCAAAAGAAAAAAAGCAAAAGCAAATAAAAGTAAAACTGTAACTAGCACAAATGACAGAGGTGACAAGGGGCCACCCTGTATAACTCCACGTTTACACATGAAGTGGCTACCTGGGACACCATTTAAAAGCATCGATGAAGAATCAGAGGAGAGCAGTCTCTGAACCCAACCAATCAATCTCGCATCAGAACCCTTGTGCTTAAGAATTTGTAGTATGGCAACATGCTCAATTGTAACAAAGGCCTTTGTGAAGTCCAGCTTTAAAAGAATGATAGGTCTTTTAGAGGCCTGGCAGTGATAAATGTATTCAAAACACCACCCAATGCAATACTGGATTGTTTTTTCTTCTTCTCAAAAAACCATACTGGTGTTGATGGATACATGTTAGGATGACCTTCTGCAAGCGGTTGACCAAGAGTTTTGTCAGAAACGTCAGACAAGTGCTTGTGAAAGATATTGGCCTGTAGTCGTTTAGCATTTCAGGGCTCAGCTTCTTTGGAATTAGAGTGATCAGAGAAGTGTTTAGACACTCAATATTCAGGTCACCATTCTAAAAATCCTTGACTAAATTCATAGTCATCTTTGATTTACAACCCAACACTTCTTAAAAATCAGCCCATTAAAGCCATCTGGCCCATGGCCCTGTCAGATGGCATTTGTTTAATAACCAGATTAATCTCTTCATCTAAGAATGGCCTAGACAATTCCTCCAGCCAATCAACGCGTTTGATTAAAGTGTCCAGGTTAAAGCCCATGCAGATGCCATCTGTGCAGCCCATCCTATATTTGAAATCTTGCAAGAACATTCCTACCATTGCTGAATGATTAGTGACCATCTGACCATGTGCACATAAAACACTTGATATAGTATTATTCTGAATCTTTCAGTTGCCATTGTTAGAATACATACGTGTAGTTAGAGATAAGAAAAGATAAAGATAGAATTAGTTTAAACATATTGTGTTTAGTCTTGTACTCCAAGTCTCTTCCCTCATGATGTACTCTATATATACCCCTATGAGGGTCAGATCAATACAACACACAATATTGTCATCCTACAATTTTCCACATGGCATTAGAGCGGTTAGTCTCATGACGTCGATCCTAGGACTTCTCACCACTTTCGCAGCGCGCCGCCCCCGAGGAGATTAATCTCTTCTCCTCGGAGGCGCGGCATCCGATCAATCAAAAAGATTGATTTACTAGTTTAGATTAGATCAATTTCGAAATTTTCTCTAGTAGATTTTTTTTAGCCACCAAATAATCCTTTTGATCCTCAAACATCCGGCGCAATCGCAGCAGCGCTGGCATCGCAGAAGCGCGATCCGATAGAGTCATCCTCCAGCCCAACACCGTCTTCAAGCTTCAGTAGATCCGGCACCGGAAGGTGTGCAAGGGTGAGCGACTGACGCGCCACGTACCACGGGTGGCCGGCAACTCTAGGGCGATCCAGAGGAGCAGCGCACGAAGGTCGAAGGGCCCAGGCGTCCCGGTGGAGCTGCGCCACGACATCGACTCCTACGCGAGATCGCGGGTGATCTACCCGATACAGGCAGGTCTCCTCCCGGCGCACACCAACATCAGCAGGCCAAGAGCATCCCACGTCCATGTGTTAATCCATGCACATGATGGATGTGGTCTGATGGATTTTAGCCAGGTTCACGCACACGATCGGCTCCAAAAGAGCACGAGCAGATGCGTTCACGAAGCACCAGATGCCGGCAACTCCACGACGCGGCAGATCAATCTACTTCGACTCAAGCAACTCCATGCATGACGCTATGCCGATACGGCCGGGAAGACGACGCAAACGCGCGGGCTCTGCATCGACCATCCGCCCGCCGGACCAGCAATTCCAAGCGGGACGCTACGTTCACGTTCAGACTCCCTGCCTCGACAACCCTCCATCACCACGTCCGCTCTACATCAACATGCGGGCATCATGCGAGGAGCAGCTCAGGCCGGCCGAACAAGCCCAAATAGGAGACCGGCACACCATCTACGCGTCCTGCACGGACGCCGGACGGGAGCAACGCAGGTCAGCCATCTGCATCATCAGTCTTCATCGAGCGAACCAGCCATGTATCGATCACGGGAGGGTAAACGCCCGCACGCATCTACATGCGTGTTTACATCAACACTTCTGCATCACCGGGCTATGGATCTACATCTGCATCAACCAGACCAACGACATGCATCTACGTAACCGATCTTCATCTGCATTGACCCCGAGCCGAACGACATCAACCTGTACGACTACGCCGGGCTATGAGCGAACATACCATGGCGCGACATCGACACCCTGTCGCCACGAGGGAGGCCTTCAAGCAACGCATCATCGTCGACACGCTGCTGCAACGCCATCCCGACACTTCATCTCCAAGGTCTTCATCAACGTGGTCTTCACCAACATCTTCGTCAACACACCGCCGCTGCCTTGTCCACAAGATGGACACCTAGCGTCCTCTGACAGACTTTTCTGCAAGACGCGACATCGACGATGGCAATGACCGCGTCACGACGA